ACATGATCCTTAAGAGTGGGAATTGACGAGAGCTTGTTGTATATCTTGGCTGGGAAGTGGCAGACTGGCAGGCAAACTTAATCCAAGATAGTGATACCTTGTGGATTCGGCCCCAGTAACGTCCCAGAAACGACCCCGTCTTGTGTCTACGGAGCAGGCTTCTGCTTAAAAAAGACACATAAAATCCTGGAAGGCGAAGGCAAGTCCTTTAATGGAGAGGATGAATGTTCAAAACTGGCTTACTTGTACAGTGCCAGTTCCCGTGAGACGTGGACTGCCGTGATCTACGGCGAAAACCTGAATTTGATAGGTTTCTGCCTCCTCACGATCAAAGACGACGCGGGTCGAGATCACACCTGAAGCCGCGTCAATACTGAAGTTAGTGACCCCAGTCACTTCTGCACCATCCTCGGTCGGGACTCCGGCCAGGCGGTACTCGATGCGTGCATTGGCTCCGACGTCATGATCAGTGGCCAAAAGATGCCAGCCAGCTGCCTGTACGAGAGGCCCAAAGCCAGATACAGGCTGGAGCGGAGTTCCAGGTGGAGAATTCTCTGCCACCTAAGTTCCCGAGCATGTGTGTGTGCGTATGTCAACAAAAAGATCACTTTAACTTGCTATCAAAGAAGATGATTTACCTGGTGGGCGTATGCAAGTGCACATTTGGTGACTGCAACCACTTACCGGACAGTGCTAGTGCTGAAGGTCGAACGGTGAAATTTATTGCGATATAAATAGGGTCGCTATAAATAAAGGAGAATCGTCTCCCTTGCGAGATTTATATACATTTAGGCAGCATATCAAGAAATAAACAAAGCATACAGGGTAGTCTCCTAAAGGCCAGCTTTAAAGTATGCATAACTTGGTACGCAAGAGGTGTTGACCCATTCGAAAAAAGGTATAAAAATACAGAAGAGACAATAACATTATGTAAATTTGTACAATTTAAAAGGCTCCAGATATAATGGGTGGAATAGGAAAATGCAAAATAATTAAAAAGCTCGAGATAAGTAGTTTTCAAGCCTAACAATGATGTGAGATGTATTCACCCTATTTCGTTTAAAGTGATGAAGGACTGGCAGTAGAATTTTCCCACAATGATATGAGTTGAGTTGACGTTTCATTGAATTTTACATAGCCTTGCTTTCCCAAAAGTTGTTCAATGGAAACCTCAGCTCTACTCATATCATTTTGAGAAAATTCTTCTACCAGTCCTTCATCACCATAAACGAAATTGGGTGAATACATCTCATATTACTGATTTACTGGTAGTCACGACACTCTACTTACTATCAATGATACTTTAGTAAAAGCTTAATCATCCTAGGTCACTTAAATTGATTTAAGAACTAATAATTGAGCCTAGTCATTTCATTGATGGAAAAATCTAATTTCAGTCCCTAAATCATCTTAAGCGACCTTGGGTGACCAAGAGCCTAGTTAGAATTTTCCAAATCAAATGGCATCAGGATGGTGTAGATTTGGCTGAAAAGGTAAAGAACAATCAGGAGACTGAGGGATCCTAATGCGCGTTCACTTTTTGCCGATTTTAAGATTAGGCCTACCGGTTTGACGAAATGAGACTCTAGACCGATCGAGGTTCAGAAAGAAGTCCTGAAATCCTACTGTGCAATGATAGACCATTGGAAGAATGAGAATAAAGGATTTATACGGATATAGAAGTGTTTGGTTAATTCACTAATACTTGAGGGTGTCTACGTGTGTTACCGTGTGTAAGTAAAACCTCTATAATTAGGAGTAATTGGAAAAAAGCCTAGCCACGAGTCATCAAGGCTTAATGACCCAAGTAAAATGGATGAACAAGATTATGTATTTTTCGTTTTCATAAGTAGGGTTTTGTGATACAGTTTTATGAGATGTATTCACCCTACATCGCTTGATGTGGTGAAGGACTGGTAGCAGATTTTTTCCACAATGATATGAGTAGGGCTGACGTTTCCATTGAATTTCGCATAACCTTGCTTTCCCAAAAGATGTTCTTATCCAGGGTGAATGCGATATGAGAAAAAGCCTGGCCTTCCTTCAAATTAATATCTGCCCTCTGACCAAAGGTCACTCGCGGTAATGCGGCGTAGTGGCTAGCGTTTCGAGATTAAACTCTGCACTGTCATGGTTCGAGTCCCACTGGGGGTCTTGATAAGGCCTAGGCGAGGTAGAAACTGCAGCCCACCTTGGATTAGAGAACCTCTTTGCAGAGCAAGGCTATGCGATATTTAATGGAAAACTCAGTTCGCATGAGGGAAAGAATATCCACTTTTTGGTCATACTACTGATTCCTGATTTTATTTTCATAATATCCAACTTGTCATCTGCTCTTTAGGGCCCATTTCTTTCTTTCCATGAATTCTCTGACTGAGGGAACTTCTAGTCACTTTGTTTAACTCCTCGTGTCGGAACTTCTTGCCAGTCAATCATGAGCTTCTGCTGATCAAAATCCTTATTATTCCTATCTTCATTCTAGGCTGTTTTTATGTTGGCAATTAATAATTATTCTCGCAGATGATTTCTTTCCGAATAGCCTCTTCTTGAGTGTCCCACTGGAGCGCATAACCAATAAATTCAAGAAAGATAATCGCACATCCTCTTCCACCTCCCTTGTGAATTTGATTCTTTTGTCAAGTTGATGTTAATAAAGTTTAATAATTCATCCGGTCTTTTTTAACTATGCGAATAAAATGCAAAGTAGTCATCCAGGTATCGTATAAGCACATTTGGTTGCAGCGGTGACTTCACGAATTCCTCCTCCAATTTGTCTATGTATACCTTTTCCAAGAGAGGTGAGGGTGGGGATCCCATTGGTGGTCCAAATATTTGCTCATAGATACTGCCTTTAAGTGTAAACTACGTTCTCATTACTGCCAGGTTAATAAGTCATATCAACGACTCCTACCGTATTCACTCTTCTTTCAGAAATTCCTCCGCTCGTTCCAAGATCTCCAACACCTTTTCGCCGGTAATATTCGTGTACATGGATTGTACGTCTAAACTTACCAACAGTTCCATCCCTGTCAGTTTAATATTGTAGACACTTTAAGAAAATTCATGTGGATTACTCAGTATTGTTGGTAAGGCTTGACCACGGGAGTTACCCTTTTCACATGTCAAACAGGTATAAGGGAATTTGCAGCGTAGGATTAGTTTTTCATTCATTATGAGAATCCAGATTTTGAGGGCTTGCTCAGTGAGTCTGGAGAATAGATGATGTCAACAGCATAAGATAGAGTGTAGAATATAACGCCTTGAGTGGCACGGATATGATGGCAGTGATCGAGTGAAATCACTGAACCAGGCCGATAAGAGATGGTTCCTACGGAGCAAGACGGTGACTGATGAGACTTGGAGAAGGAGGATTGTGAACTTAATAGGCTGAATTGGACCAAGACTCCCAGCACAGCGGGTGTGTGAATAGTTCTCACTAAATACGCCCAAAAGGGTACATTTGAACTAAGTTGAAATAAGAAAGAAATTTTGATAGTGAAAAATTGTGTCAAAGATATAGAGCAGATGAATACACCAAGACACATGGAGAGATATCAAAACTTTTTAGCAGATAATTAGTCAGAGAATCGACTTCACTGGCCGATTTGATGAGTTGAAATGTGGTGCTAAGACTGGAATGTCTCACTGACGATGATGACGAAACGTTTTGGGATGCACACAGTCCACGGTTCAACTCCTAAATTATCATGGATGCTATAGACTCCAGGCAAGGTTCATTTCTCTAGGTCTTTCTGAATATTCGACCAAGTTGAAAAAACAAGGTCAGAGCACGTTCATACAACGAAAGGAGACTCCGACAATACTTAACCCAGTTCTACCTTAAAACTTTTACAAGAATGATTCTCGGCATCGATAATTTTGGTCCTATGACGAACGAGATCTTAGCTTCAGTCCATTCGAAACGATAGAGGATATCTCTTGGATTGCGTCAACATGAAAGTCATGTTTAAGCGAATTGGCCTTCGTCTTATGGTGAGATCGACCTACAAATCTCTTCATCATGCATTTTCATGCCAAATGAAAGCCTCCAAAACAAGACATTCTTTCTTCCAGTAACAATGCCTGGACTTCCGACTGGTGCTACACTTTTAAGTAAGTAATCTCTTCTGCTTGATCATCCTAAAATCCATATCAGAACTGTGTCCCATTTTTTTCCTCAGCGCTTTCTTGTTAACTACCATAGTATTCTTACACAAACACACAGACATACACAGAGACTTGAAAGAGCAGAAGTAAATCTAATTGCATAATAATTGGGTGAGTTTCTTTCATTAATTTATTATAGCTACATTATATAGAAATGATACACACCTGAGCTTATTTTGACTCTTCTAATCTGGAAATTATATAAAGTTTGCTGCTATGATCTGTCCTTTAGTTTTTCATGCATTAATATAGTTTGAGCCTATGATGACTAAAGGAACAGCAATGATTACGCAATTAATATAACGTCACATAGCATTTAAAGTATCTTTTTCTGCTAGCTAGAGTCAATGTTCTGAGCTCTTTAGCGTATCATTAGCTCAACCAACTAGATTCGAACCCTGGAGCACGCAACCCACTGGTTTCGTGAAGCAAAGTCATTAATTCGCGGAGGAATTTGATCGTCAGTCCCTTATCAGATTATGCGACTTAGGCTTAATAAAGCTCTTAGTAACAATCTACTGAAGCCTCTAAGCAAGGTTTTCTACATTTTGATAGACCTTGTATTCAAAAAATAAGAAAAAGCAGTATAACTAGAGAAAGATACAACTAACTTCAACTAAAATTTGCCTAAGAAATACTAACCTACCTAATATTGTCTGCGCTTGTTTTATCAACAAAATTCTCCATGTTTTAGTGTCCTCCATCAACTACGAGATAACGACTTAGAATATTAGTAATATATAAATTTAATTCTTCCCTTCTTTTCTTCTATTACGAAAATCTCAGACTACTGCACCTGCACCTTTGCCGAGATGCCTGATTGTGCTGTCAGAACCCGAACTAACTAGGCGGAAACAATAACTGTTTTTAATAAGGTTGTAAGCAAAGTCTGTCTGAAATTAGTGACGGTAATTATTTATCTCATTGACATGCTATTGTGTTTTCAATACTAAATTTCCCTCCTTGAGATACGATCTTTCGGGTTTGGACTGATGAGATAAATGCTTAATGCTGCTGTAATGGCTGGGTAAAGCAAATTCCCTGTTAATTACGACATTTTGTTGAAGCAGACGACCTATACTTTGTATAAATAAGCTCGATAGTGAAATTTTTTATACTTTCCCGGTAAAGCTTATATTTATTTAGCCACAAAAATAAAACTTAGGAGAACCTGTGCATAAACGATCCAATGCATATATTTGCCTCCACATTTTATTAAAATTATGGTCATTAAGAAAGCTTAAGAATAAATACCTTCCCTAGAGATTCCTGGGGACACCAGAGAGTGTATTGGCATGATATTCGTTCTCATAAAGAAAA